TGCTGTGTGTGCCCGTGTGTGCCCGTGCTCTGTGTGCCCGTGTGTGCCCGTGCTCCGTGTGCCCTGTGCCCATGCTGTGTGTGCCCGTGTGTGACCCATGCTGTGTGTGCCCGTGCTGTGTGTGTGCCTGTGTGTGACCCGTGCTGTGTGTGCCCGTGCTGTGTGTGTGCCTGTGTGTGACCCGTGCTGTGTGTGCCCATGCTGTGTGTGCCCTGTGCTGTGTGTGCCCGTGCTCTGTGTGCCCGTGTGTGCCCCGTGCTGTGTGTGCCCATGCAGTGTGTGCCCGTGTGTGCTCGTTCTCTGTGTGCCCATGCTGTGTGTGCCCATGCTGTGTGTGCCCATGCAGTGTGTGCCCGTGCTGTGTGTGCCTGTGTGTGACCCGTGCTGTGTGTGCCTGTGCTCTGTGTGCCCGTGTGTGACCCGTGCTGTGTGTGCCCGTGTGTGACCCGTGCTGTGTGTGCCCGTGCTGTGTGTGCCCGTGTGTGCCCGTGCTCTGTGTGCCCGTGTGTGCCCGTGCTCCGTGTGCCCTGTGCCCATGCTGTGTGTGCCCGTGTGTGACCCATGCTGTGTGTGCCCGTGCTGTGTGTGTGCCTGTGTGTGACCCGTGCTGTGTGTGCCCGTGCTGTGTGTGTGCCTGTGTGTGACCCGTGCTGTGTGTGCCCATGCTGTGTGTGCCCTGTGCTGTGTGTGCCCGTGCTCTGTGTGCCCGTGTGTGCCCCGTGCTGTGTGTGCCCATGCAGTGTGTGCCCGTGCTCTGTGTGCCCGTGTGTGACCCGTGCTCTGTGTGCCCTGTGCCCATGCTGTGTGTGTGCCCGTGCTGTGTGTGCCCATGCTGTGTGTGTGTCCGTGCTGTGTGTGCCCGTGTGTGCCCCGTGCTGTGTGTGCCCGTGTGTGACCCGTGCTGTGTGTGCCTGTGCTGTGTGTGCCCGTGCTCTGTGTGCCCGTGTGTGCCCTGTGCTGTGTGTGTGCCCTGTGCCCATGCTGTGTGTGCCCGTGTGTGACCCGTGCTGTCCCCGCAGCTCCCTCCAGCATGCTGGTGAAGGACGAGTACGTGCACGACTACGAGGGGCAGCCGTCGCTGTCGTCGGCCGAGGGCCACTCTGTGCAGACCATCCAGCACCCGCCCAGCAACAGGGCCTCCTCGGAGCCCTACAGCGCCCCGGCCATGCTGGCCCCCGCCGAGGCCAGCACCACCAGCACCACCAACTTCCCCAACATTCCCGTGGCCTCCACAAGTAAGGTCACGGGCTGCCGCGGGCCGGGGGGCTGGGCTGGGGCTGCAGCCCTGCCCGGGGCTGTGCTGGCTGCTCCCTGCCGCTGTGGTGCTCCTTGTGCAGCGGCAGGGCTTACCTGGAGTGCTGTGACCTTCTGTTTCACTGAGAGTGGCACTGCGCCGGCGCTGCGCTGTCTGTGACAAAGGTTACAGCAGCTGGCCCCTGGCAGAGCAGTGTGGCTGTTCCTTGGGCATTGCCGTAGAAATCAGTTTTATTGTTTTGTTGAACAGCAAGCAGAACAGCAAATGCTTGTGCTGTGAGGTGGCAGTTCCAAGGGATCTGTAGGCAATTCCTTAGTATTAGAGTTTTGACGCCACTGCTTGTGTAGTGGCTGCTGTGCTGCCAGAATGACAGCCCCAGTTAGTATTTCCATTTTTGTTGGAGTGCTGCCACAAAGGTTTGGATACTTTTCCGTGTGTCTGGTGCAAGTGGAAGAGTTTGATGTCCCAGCACCAGAGCCACAGCAAAGCACTCAGAGCATCCTCAGTTTGGGGAGGTTTCAGACAGAAGGTGTGTGAACACTGCTGATCTCGTTACCAGGTCTGAATTCTGGTGACATGGTGTTTGGATAGTGCTCGTTAATTTTAGCTGATGAAATTTTGGCTAAAAGTACTGATCTTGGTAACATCACTATGTCGTTATTTGTCTCCAGGAGAGATGAAAAGGTATGGGAATTTGTACTGCCTTTGCACCACACTTTACAGTCAGTAACCTTTTCTCATCAGTGCCATAATTGTTGGAGGCAAGTGGATGTGAAAAAAACCAAATTTTTATGTTTTACTGCAAGTTCTCAATGTGTTAAATTGTGCTGGCCACACTGGTTTGAGAGTGCAAGTGTAATTGTGAAAGTGTTGATAAGATTAGTGTTAATGGCTGAACCGAAGCCTTTTGCATCAAATTCTGTTAACCTGTTCTGAAATATCTGTAGTTTTAATCTCAGGTAATTATTGAAATATTTATTTGAGAGCAGGAAGAAAAAAACCTCCGGGGCTTTCTGAGTGCAGTGTTGTGTGCGGCTTTATTGAAACAGTGTTTATCAAAATGAAACACTGCCCGGAATGTTTCGGAGGAGCATAAATGTGAGTGAGTGTCCTCCTTAGGAACAGTAGTTAAAACATGGTGAAAACAAGCGGCTCACTGGACCTGCTGTTGGCCTGCTTGGATTCACACTGAGCTATTCCAGCCCTGTTATCCTGTAAAAGTTGAGATGTCTCCTCTTCCTTCCACCCTGAAAGATGAGATTGACCAGGACAAAGATGCGGGCGATGAGCAGAGCTCTGCATACTCCTGCTCCTGAAGCGTTAAGGGTGTCAGTCAGAGTTGCCTGATGCAGAGCATTTTGTCCCCGGTTTCCTGGAGGGTGGAAAAGAAGTACTGGAACCAAGCCTGTGGCAGCTGCCTATTGCAGTGCCCTTGGTGGGGTGTGTTCTCCTACCCAGTAGTGCTGAGCTCTTAATCAACATTTTGGAACGTTCATGAATAGGTAGTGTGTTCTTTTACCAGGTCAACCTCCCAGTATATTGACAGGTAGCCATAGTGATGGACTCTTACAGATTGCTTCAGGGCCCCAGCCAGGAGCTCAGCAGAATGGGTTCACAGCCCAGCCAGCCACTTACCACCACAGTGAGTATCCGTTCACTCTGCGCCTCTCAGCTTCCTCAGCCCGGTTTCCAAATGCCCAGGAGCAGTAGAGGACTAGCAGGGAGCCGTGGGAGGCTCCCTCAGACGCCGGGGGGGTTTGTCTTTGCAGACAGTACCACCAGCTGGACGGGGAGCCGGACGGCCGCCTACACGCCCAGCATCCCGCACCACCAGAACGGCCACCTGCAGCACCACCCGCCCATGCACCCCGGACACTACTGTAAGGATTCTGCCCGCTGTCCTCGCTCCGCGTCGCTGGGAGCTGCACTTACAGCCTGCCTCTGCTCTGCCCTGGCTCATTCTGCCTGTTCACCCCTTACAGCCCCCTCATTCTGCCTGTTCACCCCTCACCCCTCATTCTGCCTGTTCACCCCCTCATTCTGCCTGTTCACCCCTTACAGCCCCCTCATTCTGCCTGTGTGCTGCCGGCTCGGAGCCAGCCCCGGGGCTGTTCCCGCTGCAGCTGCCAGGACTGGGAGGGCAGCAGGGAAACCTCCGTGTGGCACATGAAATTACTCTTTGTAGTGGTTTTGAAGTCATGCTTTGGAAGATGTGTCCATGCACACTTTAAAGACTGCCAGCTTTAAAGAACTTAGTGAAACCCTGCACAGTAAAGTATTGTCAGTTCATGGGTGCATTGGCACACAGATTTGAAAATATTCTTCACATATGAAATAGGAGAAAAACTATTATTTTAGGATACAGGAGATGGGATGGGGAAAAAAGATGGTCAAGCTTCTGTTGTAGGGGTCTAGCACAGGAAATGCATCGTAGGGCTTTAATAGATAAAAAAACTCCCACACAAATTAAAGATTTCTAAATTTTGTAGCAAAAAGCTTGAACAGTTCTTTATTTTCTAGTACAGTTTTTGTCAGAATGTTCCCTAATGTTAGAATATATAATCTATGTTCTGTATTAGAAGATAGAACACATATTCTGGTATAGATCCTCTGTATGCAGCAGGTGTTGTTAGTGGAGGGGAGAACATACTGTAAATTGACCTTGGAAAGTCTTTTCAGCCTGTGTCTGTCTATAAAGCCGTGGTTTAGACACAGTTATTCAGATTAATTCCTTCATTCTGTGAGGATCCCTCTTCATTCATCACGTTATTTCTCGGGGATAGCAGGCTGTGAGAGGCACTAGTGGTGCTGTGGATAGGCTATAAGTGTATTTCAGCACCAGAATTGGTGTTTGTGCCTGGCTGGTGATGCCACACTGAGCTTTTCTTGGCTGCTGCCGTTTCTCACTTGTCCCATGTTTTAGCACCTCCCCGGGCCGTGCCTGCCCTGACGTCTTGTTGCAAAAGCTGCTGTTGCATGCAGTACTGCGTTCGAGTCTTCCCTGCCTGTTCTGCCGCCTCCAGGAGCCGGTTCCTGGAGGGCACAGAATAATCTGACTGCACGACTGTGTGCCGTGTATTTTTCTTTAGAAAGTGTGTTATCTGGGGCTTTTTCTCCATCTTGAGTGGCTGTTTTTCACCATCCAGTCCACAGCATGCTGGGCAGCTTGTTCTGTGCTGGATGAGGCTGGTGGGGGGTGGTTTCGTAGGAAAGCACTTTGGGGGAGAAAACCTTGTTTTGGCTGGTGTGAAACAAACTGCGTGTTTTTCTTTTCAAGGGCCAGTTCACAATGAACTCGCATTCCAGCCTCCTATATCAAACCATCCTGGTGAGTACAGACGCGAAGTGCAGTGAGAGGCGTGCTTGCTGTGCGGAGGAGAGGACCCTTCTTTCCAGGGACCCTGCTCTAAACCGGCGTCTCCTGGGGCACAGGGACGTCAGCAGGGCTGCTTCGGTGTTTGTGTGAGTGTGAGTGTGATTGTGTGTGTGTGTGTGTGTGTATGTGTGTGTGTGTGAGTGTGTGAGTGTGTGTGTGTGTGTGAGTGTGTGTGTGTGTGTGAGTGTGTGTGTGTCTCTGTGTGTGTGTGTGTGTCTCTGTGTGTGTGTGTGAGTATGTGTATATGTGTGTATGTCTGTGTGTGTGTGTGTGTGTATGTGTGTGTGTGTGTCTCTGTGTGTGTGTGTGTATGTGTGTGTGTGTGTATGTGTGTGTGAGTGCCCAGCTGCCTGGGGCTGTGCCAAGCCCTGCGGTGCAGCGCTGTCCCTCCCACATCTGGCGCTGCTGTTCCTCCCTGGGCCTTCTGGGGCTTCCCGGAGTCTCCCTTGGAGTCTCCCTTGACCCTGGCTTCAGGGAGTCTCCCTTGCTGCAGGAGCTCTCTCTGCTGCAGGGCAAGGTGATATTTTGTGTTTAACGACAGTGGCACTGCTCCCTGCAGAAGGGGCGCTACACAGTTGAAAAGCCAAAACATTAAGCTTGTTTTTGTCCAGATAGTACAGCAGTGCCGGGAATTACATGTTGATAACTGCGGGGTGAGCTTAACTGCAGCTGAATTGTGATTCACGTTGTTTGGTGTCTCTCGCACTATTGATTTCACCCTGTTGAGTCCTCAGTGCCCAGAGCAGCTGTGGCTGCCCCAGCCCGGGAGTGTCCCAGGCCAGGCTGGAGCACCGTGTGCCCATGGCAGGGTTTGGAATGAGATGAGCCCACAGGTCCCTTCTAACCACAGCCGTTCTGGGATCCCGTGCTGTGTTGGTGCTCCCCAGCAGGCAGGGCCCAGCTGTGTTTCCCCATCGTGGAAATGGACCCTGCAGTCAGCAGACCCCTCTGTGACTGGAGCTTATGGCATCTTTGGGGTGTCCAGACACAGAAGCCACAGCACACAGCAGCCAGGAGTGTGACAGGCACAGCTCCAGGTGGCACAGCAGTGACTGACACTGACACTCGTGTACGAAATCTCCGGGTGTGCTTGGCCAGCTTCCACTGCCTGCTGGGCTGTTTGGGATTCAGGGGAGTGCCCAGGGAGTCTCCTTTCCTCGCAAGGCCGATTGCTGCAGCAGCCATCCTTCCTTTGTGGCCAGTTTTTCTTTCCCAAATGCATGGGAGGGCTAGAAGGCAGCTCTTTGCTTTCAGAGCATGCCATTTTGTTCTGCTCCCTCAGTTTGTGCCCCTGTGTTCTGTCCTGTCCCTGATCAGTGTGAGATCTTTGATGTTCTTCCCCCACGTGCTGCTTCCCAGCTCCAGGGGAGCTGGTGATCCTTTCCGAGGTGAGTGAGTGCAGAGGGAAGGGATGACCCCGGTGTCTGCAGCCAGAGCTGGGCCAGAGCTGGTCTGTGCAGCCCAGCCATGCGTGGGCACACGTGTTCTCCTGTGTGCAAGGCCGGGCTGTGGGGATGCAGATGGCTTACCAGGCCTGCCTGGAATGGTAAACTACACACAGGCTTGTGAGAGCTGAAGTACAACTACCTGAGGCCCTGGTGTGTGCTGCAGTAAAGACAAGCCGTGTTTGCTGTGGCAGGTGGTGTTTCTGTGGGCTAGCAGACCTGCCTTTGTCCAGGTGTGAGTGTGCCTCTCCTGTGCCTGACGAGGCAGCTGCAGAGTGGATGGTCTGGAGTGGTTTCACAGCTCCCTGGTGCCTTTCAGGCAGCTAACTGTGTCTGTTGTTCAGCTCCAGAGTACTGGTGTTCCATCGCCTACTTTGAGATGGACGTGCAGGTCGGGGAGACGTTCAAGGTGCCCTCGAGCTGCCCCATTGTCACCGTGGATGGGTACGTGGATCCCTCCGGAGGGGACCGCTTCTGCCTGGGCCAGCTGTCCAACGTGCACAGAACAGAAGCCATCGAGAGAGCGAGGTACCCCGGTCCCTGGCTGCCTCTGGAGTTTGGCAGTGCTCAGTGTGTGTCCCCTTCGGAAATGTGCAGGGGTCTGTTTGAATTACCCTGGCTGTGCCGTCCTCAGCCCCCCTGAGGTGGTTCAGGGCTGAGCTCTGCTGTAGCAGTCGCTGTTTTTGCTCACAGGGGCTGTGCCTCAGCAGTAAGGTTGTAACTCCTGCCCTTGTGTGTGCAGCTCAGGTATTAGCTCTCCACAGCCCCTCAGGGTGATGTGGGAATGGCTGCAGCACACAGATTTGCCAGGGGAGCAGGGGAAGGCTGGCACGGGGCTGTTGGGCTCTCATTCCTTCCCACTGTGCCTGTGCTGGCCTTTGAAGTGGAAACACACAGAACTGAAGCCATGCTGCCGTTTTTTTTTTTTCTCCTCCTCTTGGAAAGGAGGTGGAAGAAAATGATGACTTCTCCCCAGGAATGTCACACTGTGACAATCAGAGCCTTAGATGGCCAAACAAAGGAGTAAACCGTGGCTTTGTGGATGTTGCTGAGTGACTGTGTGGGATACAGAGCACTCAGGGGCTGCAGACATGCTGGTGTGGATGTCAGTGAGTGTGTGACACACAGAGCACTCAGGGGCTGCAGACATGCTGTGCTGGTGTCCCAGCTCCGTGCTGCCAGCGGCCCTGTGTGATCAGGTGTCGTTGGGGCTGCAGCCTGTGCTCCCTCCCAGCTGCACGGGTGCTGCAGTGCCCGCAGTGCCCGCTGACGCCCGTTCCCTTGCAGGTTGCACATCGGCAAGGGGGTGCAGCTGGAGTGCAAGGGCGAGGGCGACGTGTGGGTGCGCTGCCTGAGCGACCACGCCGTGTTCGTGCAGAGCTACTACCTGGACAGGGAGGCGGGCCGTGCCCCGGGGGATGCTGTGCACAAGATCTACCCCAGCGCGTACATCAAGGTGGGTCAGCCGCTGGAAATCCCCGTGATTTGTCCCAGAAATGGCAGGGAGGAGCTGAAACACAGCCAGCCTCTCTTTCAGAACCTCCAACAAGTTCCATTTGTAATTCACATAAAGGTGACTTGAAAAACAGCTCTAAACTGAAGGTGTCATCTGGGTACTATGAAAGTGAATTTTGTACTTCATCACAAACAGCGTTGATAGCAGTTCTTGGTATTTTTAGCTTTAGCAGGTTTAAATTAACTGCAGCTAAAATTTTTAGCCTTGTGTTTCATAGAAAAGAGCATAATCTGTTTCTTTTCTCCAAAAAAGGCAGAGTTGTGAAAGTAACTATAAATGCAGCAGAAGTTTAGGGCATGTGTTAAAGTGTCATGAATGTGAAGTGATCCAGAGATCAGAGGAGGCTGCACAAAACAAATCATTTTGAGGAGGTTCTTACACGGACGTGCCTCTGACAGACTGTGAACTTACACAGACAAGCCACACTCATAAAAAAGCAAACTTGTCTTAACCTGCTTGAAGTTCACAGTGGTTTGGCTTTCTAACCATCAGTTTTGGAGGCAGTTATGCAGTGAAGGTGAAAGAAACCCCATGAGCTCTGTGCGTGAGCTTTCTAACATGAAAACAGAGTTCTGCACATATGTTGGTGGCAAACAGCGATCACAAAGGTACAGACTGAAACCCCCAGCCTTGGACTGTCATTATTGGCGTTTCTCTCAGATAGACCACCACACTTCAGTGGGATAATGTGGGACTTGCTGGCTTTTTTAATTTATATGCCCATTTTTCTGGAAATCCTGGGATTTAACAAAGAAGCAGGGGTTTAATCTGCCTGTGGCACCCTTCAGACTGTGGTCTGCACCAGGTCCTGCTTTGGGCAGTTTTGGTCATGCCAGTGGTGGTGACAGCACGAGAAGAGTCTGTAAGAATCGGCTGTGACGGATTGGGAATAAACTGTTGGAAATTATCGGGTGGGGAGGGTTTGCTGCTGCCAGCTGGGTGCCCAGCTGCGAGCTCTGCGTGTTTGTGTTCCAGGTGTTCGACCTGCGCCAGTGCCACCGCCAGATGCAGCAGCAGGCGGCCACCGCGCAGGCCGCCGCCGCCGCGCAGGCTGCAGCCGTGGCCGGCAACATCCCCGGGCCGGGCTCCGTGGGAGGCATCGCCCCGGCCATCAGTGAGTACTGCACAGCCTGGGGGGGAGAGAGAGAGAGAGAGAGAGCCCTGCCCGGGACTCTGCCGTGGCTGGGCACAGCAGGGCTGGGACAGAGACAGAGAGAGAGAGAGAGAGAGAGAGAGAGAGAGAGAGCCCTGCCCGGGACTCTGCCATGGCTGGGCACAGCAGGGCTGGCACTGTCCCCTGCCATGGCTGGGCACAGCAGGGCTGGCACTGTCCCCTGCCGTGCTGGGCACAGCAGGGCTGGCACTGTCCCCTGCCGTGCTGGGCACAGCAGGGCTGGCACTGTCCCCTGCCGTGCTGGGCACAGCAGGGCTGGCACTGTCCCCTGCCGTGCTGGGCACAGCAGGGCTGGCACTGTCCCCTGCCGTGCTGGGCACAGCAGGGCTGGCACTGTCCCCTGCCGTGCTGGGCACAGCAGGGCTGGCACTGTCCCCTGCCGTGCTGGGCACAGCAGGGCTGGCACTGTCCCCTGCCGTGCTGGGCACAGCAGGGTGGCACTGTCCTGTGCCATGGCTGGGCACAGCAGGGCTGGCACTGTCCCCTGCCGTGCTGGGCACAGCAGGGCTGGCACTGTCCCCTGCCGTGCTGGGCACAGCAGGGCTGGCACTGTCCCCTGCCGTGCTGGGCACAGCAGGGCTGGCACTGTCCCCTGCCGTGCTGGGCACAGCAGGGCTGGCACTGTCCCCTGCCGTGCTGGGCACAGCAGGGCTGGCACTGTCCCCTGCCGTGCTGGGCACAGCAGGGCTGGCACTGTCCCCTGCCGTGCTGGGCACAGCAGGGCTGGCACTGTCCCCTGCCGTGCTGGGCACAGCAGGGCTGGCACTGTCCCCTGCCGTGCTGGGCACAGCAGGGCTGGCACTGTCCCCTGCCGTGCTGGGCACAGCAGGGCTGGCACTGTCCCCTGCCGTGCTGGGCACAGCAGGGCTGGCACTGTCCCCTGCCGTGCTGGGCACAGCAGGGCTGGCACTGTCCCCTGCCGTGCTGGGCACAGCAGGGCTGGCACTGTCCCCTGCCGTGCTGGGCACAGCAGGGCTGGCACTGTCCCGTGCCATGGCTGGGCACAGCAGGGCTGGGACACAGAGAGAGAGAGAGAGAGAGAGAGAGCCCTGCCCGGGACTCTGCCGTGGCTGGGCACGGCAGGGCTGGCACTGTCCCGTGCCATGGCTGGGCACAGCAGGGCTGGCACTGTCCCCTGCCGTGCTGGGCACAGCAGGGCTGGCACTGTCCCCTGCCGTGCTGGGCACAGCAGGGCTGGCACTGTCCCCTGCCGTGCTGGGCACAGCAGGGCTGGCAGCCCAGCCTTGCCCAGCCCCTGCCCCTGCTCGCCCCGCAGTGCCCAGGCAGTGCTGTGTGTGGAAGGGGCTGCTCCCTGTCCCACAGCACGGCAGAAGACTTCTCTGCGCGCGGTCAAACAGCCACAAACAGTCTCTGTGTTCCTTTAAACAGAGGCATTTCTGGCTGCTCAGAGCCCAGCTTGAAAAATGTGTTTGTGTTTCAGCTCATGTAAACATACTCCAGACAACAGGGATCACTGGGCAACAGTCCTTGGCTAGGTGTAGGAGCATCTACTGTTAAGGATCTTGAGGAAGGCTGAGGGTGGTTTTTTCTCTCTCTTTTTTATTGTTATTATCCTGGGCCGGTGTTGTCATAGTTCCTAAATTCTGGATTCTTGAAATTGCTCCAAAGTGCTTTTAGAGGTGTAAGTGCTTGCATGACTCAGGCTGCTCTGTGTGCCGCAGGATTCCTGGACCTGCCCTGCGGCTCCCTTCAGCTGTCCTGCAAATTGTTAAAGGCATTTTGAGGAAAGTTTGTCACTTTTTTTCTTAGCCATGCCTGTGATTTGAAATTTGCCAGCTGTATTTATCTTTCTGCTCTGTCAGGGGAGTGGTGGTGTTTTAATCCAGCTTCCTGCAGATGCCCAGTCTGAGTTCTCACACTGAAAACGCAGCATTTGGCAAACCTCAGAAATAAGCATTTTGTGACTGGATTTCCTAAGTGTGATTTGAGTACGTTGTGTCATGTAAAGCATTTGGGTTTCATCCCGTCTGCTCTGTGTAGGGATAGGTGGGATCTTGGGCAGGAATTGCTGGCTGGCAGGGTGGGCAGGCCCTGGCACAGGGTGCCCAGAGCAGCTGTGGCTGTCCCTGGATCCCTGGCAGTGCCCAAGGCCAGGCTGGACGGGGCTTGGAGCAGCCTGGGACAGTGGAAGGTGTCCCTGCCATGGGCGGGCTCTGAGGTGCCTCTAATCCAAACCCATTCCATGGTTCTGACTGCAGTTTTGTGTCTCAGCACCTGTTGGAGGTTGCAGAACGCTGTGCAAACTAAACTGTAGGGAGGGCAAAGGAGAGGGTGATTGAGTGCAGCAGGACGTGGCAGTGAGGGCTGCCCTGGCTGGGAGACCGGGAGGTGGGCGTGGAGCAGGGCCAGGCAGCTGGGATGGGACTGGTGAGACAGGACAGGAGGTGTGACAGGACAGGTGTGACAGGACAGGTGTGACAGGACAGGAGGTGTGACAGGACAGGTGTGACAGGACAGGTGAGACAGGACAGGAGGTGTGACAGGACAGGTGTGACAGGACAGGTGTGACAGGACAGGTGTGACAGGACAGGTGTGACAGGACAGGTGTGACAGGACAGGTGTGACAGGACAGGTGTGACAGGACAGGAGGTGTGACAGGACAGGTGTGACAGGACAGGAGGTGTGACAGGACAGGTGTGACAGGACAGGAGGTGTGACAGGACAGGTGTGACAGGACAGGAGGTGTGACAGGACAGGTGTGACAGGACAGGAGGTGTGACAGGACAGGTGTGACAGGACAGGAGGTGTGACAGGACAGGTGTGACAGGACAGGAGGTGTGACAGGACAGGTGTGACAGGACAGGAGGTGTGACAGGACAGGTGTGACAGGACAGGAGGTGTGACAGGACAGGTGTGACAGGACAGGAGGTGTGACAGGACAGGTGTGACAGGACAGGAGGTGTGACAGGACAGGTGTGACAGGACAGGAGGAGCCGTGCAGGCAGGCAGGAGCCGTGCAGGCAGGCAGGAGCCGTGCAGACAGGAGCCGTGCAGGCAGGAGCCGTGCAGGCAGGCAGGAGCCGTGCAGACAGACAGGAGCCGTGCAGGCAGGAGCCGTGCAGGCAGGAGCCGTGCAGGCAGGCAGGAGCCGTGGCGTGCAGCCCTCAGGCTGACCGCGCTCTCCGCAGGTCTGTCGGCCGCGGCCGGCATCGGCGTGGACGACCTGCGGCGGCTGTGCATCCTGAGGATGAGCTTCGTCAAGGGCTGGGGCCCCGACTACCCGCGGCAGAGCATCAAGGAGACGCCGTGCTGGATCGAGATCCACCTGCACCGCGCGCTGCAGCTGCTGGACGAGGTGCTGCACACCATGCCCATCGCCGACCCCCAGCCCCTGGACTGACCCCGCCGCCCGGGCAGGCCGCCCTGTAACATACCCCTCTGTTTATAACCTGGAGATATATTTTACTTCCCTTCTGCTTAATCTTCTGAAAACAGGTTTTAAAAATGTGTTTGCCGCCTTGCTCTTAGCAGAAAGCATCTGAACGTGCAGGATTTGGATTTCAGTTATTTCCAGAACTCAGTAGTCATAATACAGGGCCTACAGTGGAAGGTAAACGCTTTATAGAGACTTCACAGTGTTGGGTTTGTTCCCTTTGAAACTCTCCTTCCCTATGGTGGCGTCTTGGTGATCAGCCTCACGGGAGCCTTTTGTATGCAGAATATATATTATATATATATTTATATCTGAAAATTCCTTCTAGTAGTTAAAAACATTTACCTTGTAGCGACTTTAAAATTCCAACTGATTTGTGATGTTCTTTTTAGGGAACAGTAGTTAACAGAAGACTTCTTTATTTTGTTGATGATTGTGTTATGATTTTTCCAGGTTAAAGCCTAGCAGCTGCCAAAAAGTGAGGGGATGACACATACGTTGTTGGCATTGATCAAAAAATTCTTTCGTTTTTAAAAGGAAAAAAGTCATCCTAGATTTTTATTTCTGTTACCATGTGAGTTGTAAAACACTAAAGGAAACGGATAGTTTCAGTGCTGGCACTCGGTTTGAGGTGAGACACCCAGCCCGCAGCGCTGCCACTGGAGTGGGGCTGTGAGTGCCAGTGGCAGGAGCGTGTTTCCACCGTCACTGCTGACTTCTGTGGTTTCACCCGAACCCCAGCATGTACCACGGCTAAATCTGCATGACTCTTTTTACTCGAGTGTCTACGGTAATCCGTCGGCATTTAGCACTGGGTTTTTGTATCTGTTCACCATTTCCTCTCAGGGCAAGATGGCAAACCTGTTTTTATACCTCCTGGTTGTTTCGGCCCTGTGCCGTGGGTGGGTGGCGATGCTGTGTGCAGGGAGCAGCTGCAGGGCACACACTCCCCTTCCCCTGGCTACAGCACCAATAAAGGATGGAAACCCACGCACCAAGCTCGCTTTGCTTTGATGTGTGCTGCCCCCGAGCCCGCTGCTGCTCCTGCCTTCACTGCTCCTCTCCTGGGGATAGCTGCTCCTGGCACACGGGGAGCAGGAGCAGGAGCTGCTGGCACACAGAGGGAGCAGGAGCCCTCCTGGCCCTGCGGGGTCTTGCAGCGCTGTCAGCGCAGCTGCAGCAGCACAGGAATCCTGCAGGATCGCTCGGGGCCTTCCTGCCCAGCCCCTCGCAGCGGCTCAGGACCCCGAGGGCTCCGGCAGTGCTCGGGTGTCGCTGTTCCCGCACGCTGGAATTCCTGCGGAGGCAGCCGGGAGCACTGCTCCGTGCTGGGCGTGCAGGCACGGGAGACAGGGGTGGCTCCAGAGCCACGGCCAGAAATTGATCCATTTTCCCCTATTTTCATCATTTCATTATTTTCCCTGTTGCCTCCCTCAGGCTGGCTTTCCATGGGTTCACCTGTTGTCCCCTGGCAGGTGGCAGCCCTGATCCTTGGGAAGGGCAGTGTCTGCTCCTCGCCCGGGTTTGGCTCTGCGAGGCTGCCTGGCAGGAAAGCTGCACCCCTCGCTTGTGCCAGTCTTGGGCAAAACAGGGAGAGGCTGCTGCAGCCTGCTGCTCTTCCCGCTGGAGTTACAGTCTGAAAGAATTCACTTGTTAAGGAAAGCTTCTTTACAGATGTTTTGCAGGTCTCCACCTGCAAAATGAATGGATGGCCCAAAATGTTCAGAACAGAACAAAACAATGTCTGGTGATTTTATTACAAGAAATCACTGTATTTATGTCAGGAGAAGTCAGAGGCAGTAAAAGCTGAGAAGGCATTCATCCTCTCCACCAAGCAGCTCCCAAAAGGGTGCACTTGCAGCTGTTAAAGAACATGAGACAATCTTATTCTTAGTTTTTCATATGCTGTTAAATTAACTTTTGTATGTTTATGGCAAGGCAGCACATCATGGGCTGGAACCTGCTCAGCAGCAGCAGCACTGAGTTCTTGCCAGGCTTCCTTTGTGTCTGAGAGCTGAGAAAGAGCTGCCGAGGTGATCCCAGTGCACCCTGAGCAGGGATCCAGGGATGCCGAGCTGTCTGCAGCCCTGAATGGCTCGGTTCAGGTGACCCAACCGGGATTTACTCAGCTTTCACCGCCTGCTGGCCCTGCTGCTCCCGCGGGGGCTCTGCCCCTTTGTGCTTTCCCTTTGTGCTGCCGAGCTGGGATTAGCGCTGGGAGGTTTAATGGGAGCTGGGATTAGCGCTGGGAGGTTTAATGGCTTTATCCCATCACTGTGAGTGTGGAGAGGGAGGGCATTCACACTTCACTCACTGCAGGTGCAGCAGAGGAAACCTCCCCACTGGAATGTTGGGAAGGGCTGAACTCCAGCAGGAATCCCCGGACGGAGACAAAACCATTCCTTGCATCCCTTCTGTGGGTGAGAGCACTGTGCTGGGGCCCTGGAGAGCTGGGGTGAGCATGGCAGGGGCAGCTCTGGGCCTCGCCGTGGGACCCCCCTGCAGCTCGGGGGCACCGGCTCCCTTCTGCCCGGGAGCCGCCGAGCTCCTGCTGCGAGCTGGGCACGCAGGGCAGCTCCTGCTGCTCACTGCGGGGTGTCACCACCCCCGGGTGCCCCAGCCCGGCTGCTGCGGGGTGTCACCACCCCCGGGTGCCCCAGCCCGGCTGATGCGGGGTGTCACCACCCCTGGGTGCCCCAGCCTGGCTGCTGCGGGGTGTCACCACCCCTGGGTGCCACAGCCTGGCTGCTGCGGGGTGTCACCACCCCCGGGTGCCCCAGCCTGGCTGCTGCGAGGTGTCACCACCCCTGGGTGCCACAGCCTGCAGACGTCTCTGGTCTCTCCCCAGAGAAGGGCCCCTCAGGAGGGGCTGTCTCACTCCTCTGTCCCTGTCCAACCCTGGCTCCTCCCAGGATGGATCCTCATCCCCAGTTTTCACGCTTTTGTAAGTTTTGGTTCATTTCCATGTTGGGATCGGTTGCCCAATTCCAGCTCAGGTGATGCAGTCCCATCCTCCCAGTTTGCTCTCCTCAATTCCCCGTGGTTTGCACTTTTTGGGCCTGAGGCTACAGCAGCGTCCTTGGTTCTGGGATTGTTTTGTCTGACTGAACTCTGAAGAGAACTTGTTACTACTTCATATGAAGTCAGTGCAGTACAGGATCTGGAAACCAGGAAAGCTCAAACTTGAGGCGTCCCCACGGGGGTGACCCAGAGCTGCTCCCGGGGCTGCTGCGGTCCCAAGGACGCCCTTGCTGTGCGAGTGTCCCCTGGTGAGAGCTGTGGCAGCAGGGCCACCCCGAGAGCGCCCCAGGCTGGGCTCTGCTGTGCCTTGCGCGTCTCGCGTCGCTCCCGGACTTGCAGGACTCGCTCACCAGCCCCAGCCGGTGCTTTCTTGCTCAGTAAGTTTTTCTGTCCTTCTGGTGAGGTTTGGTAGCACCCCAAAGCTGTGATTCAGCTGGATTGAGAGCTGTGAAGTACCCATAACCCAAAACTCACCCTGGGAGGGTTTTTCAGGCGTGGAAACCTAGTTAAGCATTTCTTTTCTTCAGCCATTGCCTTTTGATAAGCGGTCAACAGAATTCCCAGTAGTTCCTTTGTAGCTTCCTGTATGTTTTCCATTAGACCTAGTTTGTGGATAATATACTGTAGCTCACTTTCCTGAAATTCTGTAACAGAGTATGTTTTTGATTAAAAAAGTTAAAGATTCAGGTCTCGGCTTGCTTGTTTCATTTACCCCGTTTATGGAGGGGGTCAGAGCTCGGGTCAGAGCTGCAGTTCCAGGGGTCAGTGCCCAGACCAGCAGAGGCCAGATCCCAGCCCGGTGTCCAGCAGGGGAGCTGGGCTGCTGTGAGTGGCCCTGCTCCTCTGTGCCAGGACGGGGGCACTGCTGGGGGCATCAGCAGGGGCCAGAGGTGCCGCACTGAGAGCTGTGACCCTCCCTCGTGGTGCCATCCCCCGGAACATCCTCCTGGGTCTGCAGGAACATCAGATCCTCGAGTTCTCCCCACGGATTCCTGTTCGGTTGCCCGGTCCCTCTGCCTGCTCCCAGCCCGTTTGGCTGCTGACCTCCCCAGGACTGTTCCCCTTGCCCTTCTGCAGCCGCCGCCGCCGTGCTGGGCTCAGCCGTCCCTGAGCGGCTGCGGTTCAGCCCAGCCGTGCCCGGCTCTGGAGTGACCCGCACGGAGCTGCATCGGGACCAGCGGCTGCGGCCCCGGCTCCTGCTGCCCTCCCCCCTGCGGGCCTTCAGGGTGTGCTCACGCCTTTTTTCTTTCCTTGGCCTACACACACACACTTCAGAGACAAGCGGTGTCTGGCCCTGCTGGGAGAGGCTGCTTGGGGTTGGGGATGAGCACAGGGCTGGGGTGGGCACGGGGCAGGGGAATGAGTGTGGAGCTGGGGAGTGAGCATGGAGCTGGGGTGGGCACGGGGCTGGGGAATGAGTGTGGAGGGGGTGAGCTCAGGGCTGGGGAATGAGTGTGGAGCTGGGGAGTGAGCATGGAGCTGGGGTGAGCTCAGGGCTGGGGAATGAGTGTGGAGCTGGGGAGTGAGCATGGAGCTGGGGTGAGCTCAGGGCTGGGGAATGAGTGTGGAGCTGGGGAGTGAGCATGGAGCTGGGGTGAGCTCAGGGCTGGGGAATGAGTGTGGAGCTGGGGAGTGAGCATGGAGCTGGGGTGAGCTCAGGGCTGGGGAATGAGTGTGGAGCTGGGGAGTGAGCATGGAGCTGGGGTGAGCTCAGGGCTGGGGAATGAGTGTGGAGCTGGGGAGTGAGCATGGAGCTGGGGTGAGCTCAGGGCTGGGGAATGAGTGTGGAGCTGGGGAGTGAGCATGGAGCTGGGGTGAGCTCAGGGCTGGGGAATGAGTGTGGAGCTGGGGAGTGAGCATGGAGCTGGGGTGAGCTCAGGGCTGGGGAATGAGTGTGGAGCTGGGGAGTGAGCATGGAGCTGGGGTGAGCTCAGGGCTGGGGAATGGGTGTGGAGCTGGGGAGTGAGCATGGAGCTGGGGTGAGCTCAGGGCTGGGGAATGAGTGTGGAGCTGGGGTGAGTGTTACAAACGAGAGCAGGCTCCCGGTACTAGAGTGATTTCAGCATTTATTATAATAAAAAGGCCTAAAGCAAGGGGGCCCGCGGGCCGAGCAGGAGCAGTCCCGTCGAGGATGCTGCAGCGCCGGCGCTGGCGCTTCTCAGCAGCGATGTCTCCGATGTCCCAGATGGAGCCGCACAGATTCAGTGCGTCAAAAGCCCCTTTTTATCCTGTTTTTTGTTCCTTTGGTTTGGTTTCCTTTTGGATCCTTCATTTGCATGAAGGTTTAAGGCGCTTGATTGGCCCATGACAGTTCTGTCCAGGCGGGCTCGTTTCGCTTTGGAGTGGTGCACTTTATTTAGGTGGAATACGGTACGCTGGGTACCGTATTTCCTCTAACTACCCTTTTAACCCCTTTTACAATAACCAAACTAACAGTACATGCTTAACAATTATCAACTATTTTCAACCGTTTCTAATCTATTTTTAACAGTGGACACAGGGCTGGATGAGCACGGGGCTGGGGAAAGGGTGTGGAGCTGGGGATGAGGATGGAGCGGGGCTGAGCCCGGGGCTGTGCCGAGCTGCCCGCTGCTCCCCGCCGAGCCCGGCGCCGCTGCCGGGACAGCCCGTGTCCCGGGAGATCCGCTGGCCCAGCCTGGCCCAGCCGTGCTGCGGTCAGCGCTGGCCCAGGGACCGCGGGGCCCCGCCGGCCATCTGCAGTGCCACATGTGCCACATGTCACCCGCGCTGAGCTGGAGGAGCCGCGGGGGGAGCGGGAGGAGCAGCCGGCCGGGGCTGGGGGCCGGGCAGCCCCAGGGACAGCTCAGCCCCGCGGGCACACCTGCGGCTGGGGAGCAGCTGGTGCCAGCTGGGCAATGAGCTGCGGACGTTTGAAATCCTGCCAAAGTGAAGGCTTTGCGTGGTGGTTTTGGGTGGTTTGGGGTTTCTCAAATGTCTTTTTTTTTGTCTGTTTTTACTGACCCGCAGTTGCACCGCGGCAGAGCCGTGCGGGGACAGCGCCGCACGCCAGCCCTCGGAGCCGCTCGGGGCAGGGCCCCGCGGCTGCCGGGGCTCGCCGGGCCTGGAGGGGCTGGGGACAGGGGACACCAGAGCCACCCCGGGTAGCGGGAGTGCAGTCCCACAGCGGTGTCCCGGTGGTGGCCGCAGCACCGTCCAGGCTTGTGTTTGTGCCTCGTGTCAGGCTCAAGGGCCCCGTGCCCTGCCTGGGGACACCCCTGCCACCCCCGAGGGGCTGGGGACACTCCTGTCCCTCTGCCAGCCCCCTGCCCACGCTGTTTTCGTTCTCATTCCCGAGGGGATGTCCCGAGCGGCGGGAGGTCGCTGTCCCGGGCAGGGGTGGCTGTCCTGGCAGCCCCGGCGCTGTCACAGAGCAGTGGCCGTGTCCCGGCGGGCTCTGGGTCCCCTGGGGCTGGCGGGGCGGGTGCCACTGGATGTCCTTAGTGCTCCATCTGCCACCCCGGCAGCGGCGGCTCTGGGGACCAGAGGGGCCAAAGTCCCCCCAGGGCCACCGCGGTGTCACCCCGGGGCCAAGGGGCCCGCGGGAGGTGAGCATGTGGGGCCCTGGCGGCTTCAGGAGCGTGCTGCGGTGGCGAGGGCACGTCCTGTTCCAGTCCCGTTCCCAAAGGGATGCCAGCCGGCCGTGGGGACAGCCCGGGGCGGCGCCTGGCATTTTGGGGCGATTCTGCCGGTTTGAGGAGTCCGGGCGCAGCACTTTGTCACGGGCAATGCAGTGACATTGACGGTGACATTGACAGTGACATTTGTTCCGGCACGGCCCGGCCCGGGGCAGGGCGGGCACGCCGCGGGCCCGAGGGTGGCAGGGCTGGGCGCCGGGGCTGCCCTGGGAGCTGGGACACCGCAGGGACAGCGCGGGAGCGGCTGCGGTGGCCTGGGGACAGCTGGCAGGTGGTGGCAGTGGCAGGAGAGGGGAAACCGGAGCAGCCCGCGGTCAGTGCAGGCTGGACACAGAGGGGTGGAGCAGCCCAGGAACAGGGGCAGCAGGAGAGTAACGAGTAACGCCAGGGCAGGCTCAGGGGGGGTACAGCAGGAATTTCCCCATGGAAAGGACTGTCCAGCCCTGGCACAGCCATCCAGGGCAGTGGTGAGTCCCCATCCCTTCAGCCAGGTGGATGTGGCACTTGGGACAGGGGTCAGCGGTGGCCCTGGCAGTGCTGGTGGCAGGGTGGGACTCGTGGCCTTGGTGGGCTTTTCCAGGTTAGAAGCTGTTGTGGTTCTGTGGGTCTCCTGGGGGCTTCCAGGCCCTGCCATGGTTGCCTTGATCCGTGACATTTCCTGGATTTCTGGGCCCGTTTTCTCTCGCTCGCTGGCTTTGGGCAGCCTCAGCCTCAGCCGCCCGCGGCTCCTCCGCCCTGCCCGGGCTCAGAGAGCGAAGTCCAGCCCTCCTTCGGCGGCTTCGTCCTGCTCCCACCCCCGGCCCCGCACGGAGCTCACCGAGTCACGGAGCCCCCCGGGGCCATCCCTGAATCCAGCCTCAGCCCGGCCCGGCCATCCCTGAGCCCGGCCCGGCCGTCCCTGAGCCCGGCCCGGCCGTCCCTGAGCCCGGCCCGGCCGTCCCTGAGCCCGGCCCGGCCGTCCCTGAGCCCGGCCCGGCCGTCCCTGAGCCCGGCCCGGCTGTCCCTGAGCCCGGCCCGGCTGTCCCTGAGCCCGGCTGTCCCTGAGCCCGGCTGTCCCTGAGCCCGGCTGTCCCCTGCCCTGTGCAGCCCCCGCAGCCCCGTCGGGCTGTGGGATCTCCTACACATCCCTGGGGCAGCTCCTCTGCCCAAAATCCAGTTATTCCTTTGCAGCCTGTGCCCCCAGCTCTTTTAGATGCGTTTATTTCAAACTTTGCCCAAGCAGGTTTTGGAAATGCGCTGCAATTTCATAAAAAATCGGTCCGTGTCTATTTTGGGGCTAAAAAAAAGAAACCAACAAAATCTGCTCATCTTTTGTTGGTGCCCGTTGTGCTCCCTCCAGGAGCCGTGGCACGGGAAGGGCCCCCCGAGCCCCGCCGCAGTCCCGGGCAGCGCCGGGCGGGAATGCTGCGGGCCGGGGATCGGGGAGCGGGAGCTGCCGCGGCAGGGAGCTCCTCCCGGGACATCCGCCCGAGGCTCGCCCCGGGACAGCAGCCCCCGGGCTCCCCCATTCAGCCCGACCCAGCTCAGTCCCGGCGCGGGCGCTGGGCTCTCACGGCGCGGGCAGCACCGCACGCCCCGCCGGCACCGAGCCCCGCTGCTCCGGAGCTCCTCGTTGCCAGCTCCGCCGCCGCCGGCGGCCCGCAGGACGCGATGGCTGCGGCGGAGGGCGGCGGTCGCTGCCCGGCACCCCGACTGGCCCAGCCCGGCCCGGCCCCGCGCGGCACAGCAGCGGCCAGAGCCGCCCCGGGACGCCACTCCCGGCCCGGCTCCCCGGATCCCAGCGGGGCGCCGGGCACCGAGGGCTCGGGGCCGGCCCGGCTCCCCCATCCCGGGCACCGAGGGCTCGGGGCCGGCCGGTGCTGCCGCAGGAGAGCGGGGCTGGGGGCGCCTTGGCGAGGGAGGGTCCTGAGCGGCCTCGGCAGAGACCGGGACAGCCCGGGACAGCCCGGGACAGCCCGGGACAGCCAGGGACAGCCAGGGACAGCTCGGGACAGCCAGGGACAGCCCGGGACAGCCCGGGACAGCCCGGG